TGTATCCTGTTTATCTCGTTTGTTTTTGTATTGCCCCCTTCCCCATGTGTTTGTTCGCCGCCCTGAGTCCCCATGGGAATAAGGCGGCATACAAGTATAATAAATACAAATACAAATACAATATATTTTTAAGTTTTCTTTTTTTAGAAGCTCCCACATATTTTGAGCTCCTTTCCCCCCATAAATTTCCAATTCTGTGGAATCTTACTATTTTTTTTCCTGAGCTTATTAAAATTTGTTTTCTGAAACATGGGGCTTAAAAAAGAAAACAAAGAAAAACATCCAAAATATACTCACCTTGTTTCGACCACCATACCAGTTTCTTTCCACTTCCACGGTCCTTCTAAATCACTCATACCCAACCAATAGTCAACTTCATTGAGGTTATTTTTCAAAAAACCCTGAAATAAAAACAATCAGCTTGACATAAATACTTGGGAAAATTCTGGAATTTGTGAGCACCTAAATGAACAAGATGATTACTAAAAGCCAACATACATTTGTCAAAAACAGATTATGCCAGAGGAACCTTATATCCCTCTTTGATAAAGTGACTAAATATGTGGACAGAGTAAGGCATTTGACAAAGCAGAACACAAGATTATTTCTTGATAAGATGGAAGAATATGGGATAGACAGCTCCCCCCCCCCCCGATGTATTCACAATTGGCTGACCAACCACATCCAGCATTCCTTAATGGAATTACATCAACATGAAAGGAAGGATGCAGTGCGGTACATCAAGTTTCTGTTTTGGGCTCAATGCTCTTTAACATCTTCATAAATGATCTGGACAGGGGGATAGAAGGAACCTCATCAGATTTGCAAATGCCACCAAGCTGGGGGGAATTGCTAACACTTTGGAAGACAGACTCAAGATTCAGAAGGATCTTGACAGACTTGAGCATCCAACAAGACACAGTTCAGTGGTGAGAAAAGTAAGTTCTGCACTTAGGCAGAAAAAACACCTGCCAATCCAATCCTGGGCTGCATCAACAGAGGGATAATACGTATCAAGATCACCAGAAGTGATAATGCTGCTTTATACTGCAAGGGGGGGTTGCAGTATAGGGGATTGACTCCAAAGCACCAAAGGGCAGACAAGAAGTAATGGATGGAAGCTTTTTAAAGAGAAGTAAGGGGACATTTTCTAACAGTGAGAACAATTAATGAATGGAATAGGTTGCCTCCTGAGTTCTGGATGCTCTAGAATTTTCAATGGAGTTTTCAAAACAGACTGGACAACCATTTGATTGTGATGGTATAATCAGGGAGTTGCACCAGAAGAGTTCTGAAGTCCTTTCCAGCCCTATGATTCATTGTTTTATGTTCTATTATTATACTGACCAAATAACAACAAATAAATCCTAAGATTACTAAAATAAAAGAGACCTTGAAACAGAACAAAGCCAGCAACAGAATAATACTAATGTAAAACTGGTAGCAGTAATATGAAGAACTTTAAAGGGGGGGGGGGAAGGTTTTTCAGTTTCTATTAAAATGACTACAAGTAGGTGCCAAACATGACTCTTTGGATGTCACCTTTGTGAAAGCCTACTAAGAATTCACTCAGAGCTTAAATGGATGCTTCTCAAAATAAATAGCAAGTATAGGTGTTCTTATTAAAGATATGTGGGAGATAACAAACAAAACAACCTCAGAACATGTAACTTTTCAATAGTTAACATCAGTACTTGAACCAGGTCAGGAAATGGACTAGATAGCAATACATATGGCAAAAATCAATACTATCATATTAATCACATTTAACAATCTTGCTAAAACTAGACTTATTGAAGTATCTGGGTTGTTTTCCAATGAGCCACTTTAAAGTAATCTGTAAGAGTGTTTAATAGAATTCAATATAATGCCTAATTCTTCCAAACATTGAAAATTAAAAATGGTTCCATAGTGTATACTCAAAAATATCTTCCCACTTTCATTGACCTTTTACAAAACAGTAATAAGGTCAATGAAAGTGGGAAGATATTTTTGAGTATACACTATGGAACCATTTTTAAACAATTGAAACAACCTCAGAGCATTTAATGTTTTAAGAGAGACTGAAAAGACATTTCTGGCTGAAGAGAAAATCAAGATTTTTAAAGAAAAGTAATTCCAGCTTTTTATTTTTTTTAAAAAAAATTAAATATTTCTGTTATGGCCTTCAAATTAATACCAGTAGTACTATTCAGAAGTATCTATAACTGTATAAATGGGCTGCTGGAACAAACCATACATGGATGAGAAAAGAGAACCTGGAATTGATGGAATGCTACTAAAGTAGCAGACCCAATGAGAGAGGATATATGAAATATAGCAGAGAAGGACAACAGGATGTGCAGCCAACAGCTGAAGCTGGAACATCACTACAACCCTCTCTATTACAGAATCACAGAAGCTGGAGAAATACCAGGGCCTTAAGAAGGAACTAGAGAGGATGTGGTAGTTAGTTGTAGTTTATTCAATTTGTATGCCGCCCTACTCCCAAGGGACTCAGAGCAGCTAACAACCAAGGGGGAAAGGGGATACAAATAGGACAAAAGACAGACATATTAAAAACAACAACAGTCGCAACATTTCAAGTGGGGCTGGAAATTCATCAGCCCCAGGCCTGCCGGAACAACCAGGTCTTAGTGGCTTTGCGAAAAGCCTGGAGGGTGGTGAGGGTCCGGATCTCCAGGGGGAGATTGTTCCAGAGGGCCGGAGCAGCCACAGAGAAGGCCCTCCCCCGGGGAGTTGCTAGTTGGCACTGGCTGGCAGATGGAATTCGGAGGAGGCCTAATCTATGGGATCTGATCGGTCTTAGGGAGGTAATTGGCAGGAGGCGGTGGAAAGTAAAAACCGATGTGGCCCCAATGTAATAGGAATGCTTGGGGCTGTGACTTCTAAATTCGGAGAATGGCTCCAGAACCCAGGAACATCAGAGCTCCCCATCCAGAAAAGTTCACTGTTAGGAACTGCTAAAAAAAATTTTTTATCTGATTTCTTACTAGAATCAGCTATACAGGAGGACTTACCTGTTCTTCATCAGATGAAATGCTAACCAGATATGCCTTATTATTAATACAATTCAACAAGGCATTAATCCAGTTTGTCTTTTCAGCTGAAAAGTAATAACAGTATTTGCTTTGATGCTTCCAACCGAAGGGGCATGAAGAAAGCATTGTGGAGTTTCCTTGACTGCAAACAGATTCTACAAGCAAATATGATAGAAGCCTCTGTTAGTCTGCAATAGTGTTTAGAAATTGCTGAGTTCATATAGGGGTATGAAATTTAACAGTTTAAGTGGGCAGAGCACATACAGTCCTGTGCAAAAGTCTTAGGCTACTACCCGTTTTGTCGTTTTAGGAAAGTTGTAATGACCATCCATGATTATTTTTCGGTCTTGAATATCACATCTTTAACATCCCACTTATTGGTTGATTTCCCTTTGAGAGTGGCCTTGCTGATGCAAAAGTCTGCTTTTATGTCTGTCAAATTCTGTGATCTTTGATATTTTGACTGGAATGATGTAGTTGAAAGTGGGTCTTATTAGCAAGCTTCCAATGAATTACACTTGTACATCATGTGTCTGTCCTGTATGTAATGCTCAAGCATGTGTTGTACAAACCTGGTATAATAGAACTTTTTACACAGCAGTCATTTTGGCATGAAATACTGTAGTAGGGCACATACTGGTGTTAGAAATAACAGTACTTCGGGTTTAATTACATTTAAGTTAATGGGAGTCAGGTGAGTGCTGTTCTTCAAATGTAAGGGGGTCACACTAAATCAGTGTTTCTCAACCTTGTCAACTTGAAGATGTCTGGACTTCAACTCCCAGAATTCCCCAGCCAGCAAATTCTGGGAGTTGAAGTCCAGACATCTTCAAGTTGACAAGGTTGAGAAACACTGCACTACACTTGCCACTGTAGTCTATGGAAGCTGTTTTTTCCTGCTTTTTCCTGTTTTTGAATACTGAATACAAATTTCCTGCATTTTCTGGTTGTTTTTTTAATAAGGAGGCTGAGACACATACATCTTTTTACAGCTTTGAAATACATCATGCACAGCATCATGTGGAAGCTTCAGCTGCCTGAAAGAACCCCCCACCCACAAAGGAGCTACAAATAATGTATGAAAAGAGTAGTGCTAACCTACTCTGTTCTCCATATTCCTAAAAGCCTTCTAGGCATCTTCACTTTCTCTAAGTGTAAATTGAAATTAATGCTTACCTAATAGATTTCAGATGTTCAGATGTTCTTTCCCAATACAATGTTAAACAGCAACGGAAACTGTGGCTGAATATATATTTGTCATATGCATTTTCCTTGCCTTCCTGACTATTTCTGATATTCACATTTTCCAACCTATTCCCATTTAGAAGAATCCAGATCTAAAACATTTTTAGAGGTGTCTTACCTAAAATGTTACCCTAAAATTGATCTTTGGTCTCCTTTACAAGGTAATTAAAAATGTAAATATTAAAAAGGCACAGTGAGCTGCCTTTCATGGACTTCTTTGAGTAGTTTGTTTTGGTTCTATAGTTCCTCTAAAATTGCTAAGTCTGATAAAGTTGAGACAAAATATGGAATAATATCAATTATATTTTGTAGGCAACCTTTTATTATGATGGCCATCCAAATTTATGGTCCAAACACCGATGCAATAGAGGAAGTTGATTAGTTTTCTGGTCAAATTCAATTTGAAATTGACAAGGTGTATTGCTTATGAGTTGCACTGGAATGCCAAATTTGGAAATACTAAGGTGAAAAATATAATTGAATTGTGTGATCTGGGAAACAAATGAAGGAGAAGAGCCACTTATCCATGTTTGCCAATCCAATGCTTTCTTCAATGCTAACACAGTTTTATTGTCAACTGAAATGATGCCGATATACATGGCTATCACCAGATGGAAAACTCAAAACTCAAATTGACTATATTATTAATAAAAGAAAGTAGAAGAGCTTAATTACAACAACAAATATATACAATCCTGGGAACAGATCATGAACTGCTCTTGAGCAAGTTCCAATTCAAATTAAAGCAAAAGAACAAAGTCAATCAGTTCCCCCTATATGCTATGTAGCATATTCCCACCATTTTCTAAGCGATCATCAGGAATCACTCATTAATAAGGTCCTTAACTTAATATGAAAGCAGAGTAAGTATGGAGCTGAGTCAAAGATGTTGTTAAGGATGCACATAAAAGGTCACAAAACAAAACAAACAATGTCAGAACAAACAATAAAATTTGCCAAGAAGAAAAGAGAAGCCAACCCCAAAAACTGCAAAGATCTCAGGAGTGATCTATAAAGTTACCAAAGGTGTAGAAAGACATGGAGAAACAAGCAAACTTGTCCCCCAAAAATCTACAAATTCAGGAGGAGGTTGTGATTTCAAATTGGTATGTTAAAAGAATATCATTGGACACAGAGTAATTAATTTAAAGATCAAACAAAGAAGGAAGGATTATACTGCAAAGTAGGTTATACTTAAGTATCCAAGATATTTTAGTTTAGAAGACATTTCCTTCTTTAAAAAAAAAATTCTAGTACTAGAACAGAAAGGTAGATCAGTAATTAGCAATAGCAGACTTATATACCGCTTCATAGGGCTTTCAGCCCTCTCTAAGCGGTTTACAAAGTCAGCATATCGCCCCCACAGTCTGGGTCCTCATTTCACCCACCTTGGAAGGATGGAAGGCTGAGTCAACCTTGAGCTGGTGAGATTAGAACCGCTGAACTGCAGATAACAGTCAGCTGAAGTGGCCTGCAGTACTGCACCCTAACCACTGCGCCACCTTGGCTCTTATGCTGGATTATGCACGCAAACAGCAACTAGAGGCAGAACCACGGCAGAAAGAAGTTGAATATACTTATAGACCAAGAGTGATTATGCCCTTAGCAGTTTGGGGCCTGCAGTAGATGAGATCCATTAGCAATTTCATATTAAAAGTGCCATTTAGTTGGGTTTTTTTGCGCCATTCGCGAGATAGTTAAAGACATACAGTATAAATATTTAAAGGCAAAGTGCTTACTATTTGCAATCTTCTCTGAGTAGTTGGGACTTAGATTTAAGATTCTCTGAGATTCTGTTAGATTATCTATCTTCTCTGAAATTTCTGAGTCTGGAGAAGAAAATGAGGCAAAATGTAGCATTTTTGTTTTTTACTGCAATCCAAACTAATCTTTGTTTAGAAATTGTACAGCATTAAAATTATTATTATAGATGTTAAGCTAAACCACGCAATCCTATGAAAAAACACAGTTCCTTTTGAAACCTGCAGACAGGTGCCATGTTCATAGCCTTACATGCACCAAAACACCATTTTGGATCTGAAACTAAAGCACCTCCCAATTTTATTTAATACTAACAATATAAAACTTATAATAAATATAACAGATTTGTTTAATAACATAAAAATTAGGTAATTTCAGTACTTTAACTCTTAAAATCTTTGTTGTTCAGAATTCCTTTTAAATCCCTTTCAGCGGCTCATTAAATTTTGACCATCAGATAATTCATTCTATGAACATTTACATTTCATAAGCTTTACTTTTTCTATATTGTATTGATAGATATATTATAACCTTTGGTTGTAATGTTGTATTGTTCAATTTTTGGGAGTAATCTAATTCCTCATGACCCATTAACCAGAACTGTCTGTGAGTACCGGTAATTGAGTTCTTGTAAGCTCATGTTTATGTCATCTGTAATAATTTTCAACCACCTTGTCTTCTGTTAGTTTATTTTCCTATGGCATTCAATTTTTCTAAGCCTCGAGCTCTACTTCAATTACTTAGGCTGTGCACGTCCAAATTAGGCTGTAGAATTTCCAATGAGCACTCTGATTTTACTTCATCTAATATTAAATGATTTGTTCTTTTTGTGTTACAAAGTGTTGTCAGCAATTTTCTCCATCGCCACAATTCAAAGGCAATTACTTTTCTTTGTTCAGCCTTTATAAAGGTACAGCTTTCAGAACCATAAATTCACCTGGAAAATCAAGGCCTTGAGAATCTGAATCTTATTTGTCTAATTCTCTCCTGCAAACCAATGAACCATTTTGAAAATCTACATTTTCAATCAAGTATTTTAAAAACAATTGAGAGAGTTAAAGCTGGGGAATGAGCAGGTTAGTCAATAATCAGTCACTAGTAGAAGTTTCAAGGAACAAACCTGGTTAAGAGACTACCTGGCTCTTTTTATTTTATATCTCTTCCTATTGAGGAGATCCAAAGGTCAGTGCACAGAGAAATGAAAGCATAAATTTATGGTAGCTCACTGTTCAAGGAATTCTTCACTGTTATAAGTTCTCAGTTCTCATCCTTGGAATTCCTAACAATACTATTGATACTGGGAATCACTTACATTGCTTCAGGACCAAGAAAAAGAAAATAACCCATGTTGCAAAACTGATTGCTACTAGGAGATAAAGAATGGATATGTGAAACTTTCTAGAGTTATTCTCTTTTGCAGGTTTACAGATGGAAGGATCTGTGGAAGAGAAGATTAATAGCAAGGTTTACTTTACACCAATTGATTTTGTGGAGCACAAACAAGCAAATTTATATAGACAAGCTTGTGCTCGTCACAAAAAATGAGACATGTTTCTTGAACTAAATAAAAGGTTGACTTTCCTAAGTAGAAGCAAAATATTTAAAAAAATGTTTTACATTTGAAACTGACTCATAAAGGGATAAAGACAAAATAGGCATTGCTTTAGAAACCTATTTCAATCATGTGTTGGTGATGGGCTCTGTTTCTTTCTATAGCTTCTGAGAATGCAATTTACTATTTTTCATTCTAATCATCTACACAATCTTGTTATTATGAGAAGAAAATGAGGACAATTTCCACAATGCACCACTTTAAGCTCTTAGGAAAATAATGGAAGATACATGCACTATAACAAATAAATAAATTTAATTACTGTAATTAATCCAACTACAAACATTCCTCCTTTTTAATAGCCCATGATTTAAAAATTAAGTAAATTCTACTTTGACCCCAAACACACTACAAAAGAAACCTATAAGGTTTTCCAGAAAGTCATAAAATTTGAGACTTAGGTAGAGCAGCACAAAGCTATAGAAGCTAGAGTAGTAATTGTCTGGTTTTTATATAGGAGCTAGTTAAAAGAGAGAGAGAGATTCTTGGGATTTTTAATAATCATGAAAATTCTGGAAGATGATAAATGGATTAGAATTCTTCTTCTGAAAAATTGTATTTGTTACAAGCCTCAGTATCCCTCCAAATTGCCTTTCTCTTCAAATTATAAGTGTTATTCAGGCCTAAAAAGAATTGGTATGATGTCTAAATCATTCTGGAAACTACAATCTCTAATGTCACCTCTAAAGCTTACTAAATAAAACCCTCCTTTCTTTATATTACTAGGGCTGCACTAAAAGAGACAATACCTTCTTTCTTTTCCATTTCTTTTAGTGGTAAAGGTATTGTTACAGCCCTACCATCATCGTAATCATCATCATCATCATCATCCAAATGTTTGGGTGAACCTAAACAGAAAAAAAAGAGTTGATTAACTCTTAATCTTTCTAAGTACAATACAAAGCAATCCACAGCCAATCCACAGCCAATCCACTATGGTTTCATTGATCATAAGTGCATTAGAAAAGCTTAATCACCTTTAATTCAGTTTCTTGTTATTTTAATTAGCAGGTTCTATTAAAATTTGCAGTCTAATTTTATTTAGTTGAAAAGACGTATTAATGGTAGATACTTGTTTCATTGCTTTGTGTTATTTTCATCTCATTGGCGATACTGCTACTTTGGGAATACAAACTGATGTCGCCTCAATGATGTCACCTCAATGTTGTCTCCTCCTTGACCACCTAGAATCTTTCTATGTTTTCTGATTTTCAACTTTCCTATCCATTTCTCCCCACAATTATACTGTATGCAGTTTTGTGGCTCAGTCTTCTATCTTCTACAAAAATTTCATTCTTGTTCTAAAATGCTTACATTATCTTTAAGTTATGATCCATGAATATAAATGCTACAGTAAATATCTGTAATTGAAGATATAAATCAGATAGTTGCGCAAACACTAACATAGTAGAATATGTAACCAGAGAAACCAGAGTAGTTGGATGAAGCTTTATCATTGAATTTTCGATTTGGAGAAGAAAAGAATACAATTAGCTAGGCATGCTACAATATTTCCATATTCAATGCAAAGTAAATTTACGACGCTTCCACTGCTGCATTGGGGGTGGGGTGGGGAGTATCACATGTAGCCATTTTAGACTACTGTGGAAGAAGACTGGTAGATGGGGGTGGAATGTAATTTGGATTTCCAGGAGGGACGGAGCATTCCAGATGACCAAGATACAGTGAAGATTAGATAGTTTGTTTGGGAGAGAGAGGTTCAAGACAGCTCCTCCCTAGAACTTCCCAAAGTATATTTTCGTGAGCAAGCACTGTATTTTTCAGAGCATAAGATGCACCAAGGTTTTGAAGAGGCAAATTGAAAAAAAAAAGTTTTTGCACTTTGCAAACCTCCCAAAAACAGCCCATTTTTCACAAAAACAGGTCCATTTTTGTAAAAAAAAATAAAAAATTGCATGCATAGCCTTTAGGAGGCTTATAGAGTACTCGTTGGGGCTGGGCAGGGCACAAATGAGCAAAAAATGGCCCATTTTTCACTCATTTCTGCCTTTCCCAGCCCCCAGGAGCTCTCTGAAAGCCTTCTACAGGCTCTACACAGCCATTTTGGTGAAGGGAGTGGGGTTTTGGGAGGCAAAAATTCAGTGTATAAGATGCACCCAGATTTTCACCCTCTTTTTTGAGGGGAAAAAGGTGTGTCTTATAACCTGAAAAATATGGTAGTTGCTTTAGTTTGGCAAGATTTCTATCTGTAGGTGAGGAATAATAAAGGAAACTGTTTACAAGTAACTCTGAGTGTCTCTCTTGGGTTTTGGGGTCTGTCAACACATTGAGATTTAATCAGCAGTAATCCTCACAAGTTTCTGGCACAGTAATTAACCAGGCCCGGTTTAGACATCTGCTAAGATATCAATTAGGACTCAGCAAATATTGAGATAGTGCTATATATAGCCACTGTTCCAAGTTCTTCCTCAGTGTGAGATCTAATACTTCTGCCGTCTATTCTTTATCCTTTTTGAATGATAGAAAAAAAATTGAAAATATCCTGCAAAACTAGAGCTGTTTTTTTGCTGAGGTTCTTGCCCTCCTAATAACCATGGCATAAAGATATCCTGCTGTTTTTAAAGGACATATTCTCATGGCCTTATCCCATCCCACTTCAAAGGTAGTTTTAATTTGTATGTATCCTGGCATTCCAAAATAGTGTTTCAGCTCTTCTCTTGATACATTTTGCTGTCCAAATTATCTACTAGCTTTCATTAAGCCTGCTGGTACATACAACCTTCCAGGGCCCTTCTATGTTGGGAGGAGCCTGATTCTTTCAAACCTTGTTTACCAGGTTCCCAATCTTATGGGTCAATTCATGAAGCCAGAGACCTGCTAAATAAAGAACTGGATCTCTGAATCTTCTCTTGCCCTCTTGCCCAGTCTTGGCAGTCTTAGATACCAGTACTGAACAAGGAAGCAAATCAAGCAGAGGGGAATTACTTGCCAGACTCATGGAACAGAGACCTGGAACCTAAAGAATTTGCTCATCTCCTACTTCCCTTGCACACCTTGTCTGGCTGACAGCTGATTTACCTGGCTGCCAGGACTGGACAAAGTTGATAGAAACTTCTCGCTAGGCTGAAAGGAGGGGTCAGTCTGGCACTAAGCTTGGATTCATTGCACAGTAAGTGACATGAGCTTGATCTCCTGCATGATCTGTGGTGGGATTCAAATAATTCAACAACGGGTTCTCTGCTCTAATGATTTCTTCCAACAACCAGTTCACCAAACTGCTCAGAAAGTTAACAACTGGTTCTCCCAAAGTGGTGCAAACTGGCTGAATCCCACCATTGTGCAAGATCCATTATCTGGTCTTTCCCAGGGGAATGCAAGCAGTCTGGTGACAAAGGTAGAAGACAATAAAGTTGTTTATCTTAGCTATTTGCAAGTGGTTGCTCACGTCTGAGAAATAAGCTTTTAAATACAGATTTAACTGCTCATATCAAAAGTGCCTAGTTCACCAAAGAACAATTCACAATGGCCAACTCATCACAGGACAACTCACTACAGGACAAGAGTTACACTAAGACTGAAAAATAGTGGAATAGAATCATTAAAGAAAGGATGCCAAAGGAGGGGCAAAATGAAGTGTGAATGACACAAATTAAAATAATGTTTAACAATTTTAAATAATTCCATTCAATTGTTGAATTGTCCTATAGCGAGTTGTCTTGTGGCGATTTGTTTGAGGCAAGTGGTCTCATCCCAATTTCAGTAGGCTAAACAGTAGTTATTTTCCAGACTACTTTTAATTTTGGGTTTAAGAGTCTTTCAAAACAGCTCCAAACCTATCTTTAAAAATTGCTAAAAAAACAACTGACAGTGGGGAGATGTAGCAACTTGAACATTGTTCAAGGTGTGTGATAGTCAAAGTTGCTGCTGGAATGAGGAAATGAATTGCTGAAGCCACATGATATTGGTGGCGTGGCAATTAGAAGGGACTACATTAAACTTAATGAGTCAATTAGAATTAAGATGGATTTTCATGGCTTTGATATTTGAAATTGAAAGAAAGTCTTAATCTAATTTTTGAAAATGTATTTTTTCCTTCATATATAATGCTTAAATGATTCCTAAAGTTTGTAAAATATGATTGAAAGTGTGTTTGAAAATATCTATATTAATAGAAAGTTAAAGAAAAAGATGTATTTTCTTAAATAAAAATCTAGAGCTTTAAAAAGGATATATACAACAAGAAGAAAAATTATTCTGAGGGTAACTGGGAGGGAGTGATTTAAATTTAATGAGTTAATTGGACTTAGTTGGAATTTTATTGGTCTGAAAGTGAACTTTAAAGTATGCATGCTAAGAGAAAGTTTTTAAAAAGATGTATTAGAATGTTTTACTTTTAGAAATGTTTTTAAAGAAAAGATTAATGTTTTAAAATGAATGAAAAAATATTTTCCCTTTAAGAATCTGAATACAGTTAATGTTGTTACTATAAATGGTAATAGTTTATAAAGATTATTAAGTGCAAATTGCTCTGTTCAAAGAGGAGAATGTATTTATGATTTTAATTGGATATCACTTCTGGATTTTGTTCCTGTGATGAAAAAAAAATGAATTTTGACTTTGGTTTTGCCAATTACGGTATATAGATTTGATGTTACAGAAATGACTACTTATACTACTGTGTAAAAGTAAAAAGTTGAAGTTGAGTTTGTATTGTACTGAAAAGAGTGGGAAGTCAATGCCTTTTTCTTTCTTTCCTGGTCCTCATGTTTTCTTTCACTCTTTTTTCTTCCCTTAATTTCCTTTTTTTTGTATTTTATAGATTGATAAAGCAATAAAAGTTATAGACAATTTGAAGGGACTGTATTTTCCTGCAACCAGCTGCCAAAGTCATGGTAGCTTGGATGGAGAGTGGATTAAAATTGATCTGTTAATCAGAAGGAAGAGGAAACAAAGTTGAACTAATTAGCATATTCTCCAAAAAAAGAGAAGTCAAAATAATCATATTAACTCAATAGATTTTAGACTGTGTTTGTTAAAAATCTATACCGTGTACGGGTTCTGGAAAGTCGGGGGGGTCGGGGGAGGGGGGTCGGGGGGTCGGGTGGAGGGAGGGAGGGATATATATTAGGCTAGACACGATGTGTTAGATCTCAATGCAATGTGACTTCACATGTATACTGTTTTTCTCTAATTTTTCTTTAAAAATAGGATAAGCCAAATACATTAACATATAGTGGAAATACACCAAGGGGGGGGAGGAGTAGGAAAGAAGAAAGTTGGGTAGAGAGGGATGGGAGAGAGGGTGGGGGGGAGGCGAAAAGGAAGGGGGGGAGTGGATCTGGAGAGAGGAATGGTAGAGGGTGAGGGGAAGTAGGGTAGAGGGGGATGATGGAGGGAAGATAGAAAGTTGGAGGGTGGTGGAAGAAAGAGGTGTATGGAGAATGGAAGAGGTATATTGGGCTTTTATTTTCTGGGGCATTGTCGACAAGAGGAATTAATGCAATTATTGTTTAATACTGTATGGTGTATACATGTGAGTATATGAAAATGAAAATAAAATATACTAAATAATCATATTAACTCACCTTTTGGGGGAACAGGAAATGATGCCAGTGTTCCAGCAGACATATAAATCCCTATTGACACAAAGAAAAAAAATTCTATTTAATATTTTTTATTCTCTGGTGTATGTGCCATGACAACACAGTATAATCAGCATATAGGTATGTCTGTGTGGCTATGCATGATTTTTTTTAAAATATTGAATAGAGAGTAAAATGCTTTGAGGAAAATGAGAGCTATGCCCGAAGTTCAACAGCAGGGATGGGTGCCTGTACTGGTTGGTACTGGTTCGCTTTACTTGCTCATTCCCAACGCGCATTGCTCGTGCATTTGCAGTAGACTATAAATTGTTCTGTGCATGCACAGAGACATGCTGGCAATGGCAGAAGAGACCAGGGAACCAGTTCGGGGGTGTGGCCAGACTGGGTTGCTGCCAGTTCTGCAACCCAGGCCAAGTCACCACTACTAATTGATCCAAACCAGCCAAACCAGGCCAAACTGGGAGCAACCCACCTCTGCTGGACAGGTATCAACAGAAGAGCCAGACAAAGAGCGCCTTTCCCATACACAATATGGTGAGACATAATTTACAGAAACCCATATTTGTTTGGTCATCACCTGGATCAACATGGACCACAGTTAAGTGTTGGAGTTTCTGAACAACTGGTGACAAATAGGCTACCGGACTCAGGAATGCTGGCTAAGCAATCAGGCCTAGCAGCTGCAGGACTACTGGAAAAAAATGTTTACCCGTTGCATGTATACAAAGATTGAAACAAAGAAATAATGATCTGTTATTAGAAATCAGTGTCAATGAGAAGAGGGTATCTTGAAAAGATTATACCAGTTCTGGAAAGAATAAGATCCAAAATTAAAAGGAAGGATTTAGAAAGAATGGAACAGAGGCTAGTAGATCAATGATGATTACAATATGAAATAAAGGATTCAAAGAACCAAAATTGCAGAGAACAGCAAAGATCTACCCAGGGCAAAGAAATTAAAGCCTTGTTAGAAGTAGTTCAGGGTCTAGAGGCAAATTGGGTTCTTGGTGGAACACAATTTTCTACTTTCATTCCCAAATATGACATTTCTCAGAAATAGCAAAGTCATCTTCTAACAAAAAAATAAGAGGAACTGAAACAAAGAATAACTGGGCATCTCAAACAATAGAAAAATAACAGAATAAGATTGCTTGCATTGGCGCTTGCTCCAAAGAAAGAGCTATTGCAAGTACTAATAATACCGATACTGTTATATCAGATAAAAGCACCAGCTCACTGCATGTAGCAAATCAACCAATCTAAAGCACAGTTGCAGTTATAACTCAATACTTTGGACTGATTTTGAACGTAAAATCAACAAACGAGGGGGGGGGGCAACAGTGCACTTCACTATCAGAATAGGAGATCAGATTAGAAAATAAGATAAGCATGCTAAGATCAGAAGCAAGCAAGCAAGCTTGAACAAGTGAAAGGAAGTTGAAGAACTTGAAGGCCAAAGAATGCTTAATCAAGAAATATCAGCTGAAAACCAGGAAGATCAAGGAAGCACTGAAAATAATAAAGCAGCGAACAATAACTAATAACTAAAATAATAGCTAATAATAACTGGAAATTGAATAATGTAACCAAGGAGATTGGCAGATATGAAACCTGAACTGCACACAGTAGTCAGAATCTCCAGCTTCAGTCAGATCACTAATGTTTCTACCAGTCCATTAATTGAGAGATTCCAATGAATTAGTCAGCACCAAACAAAGAAGAAACAGTGTAGTTCTGGGTGTAGCTGCTGGACAGCCCAAAGAAATACAATAAGAATGCAGAGAGAATAAAAAAAGAAGCTGAAATGAAAGAACTTGTAATAACAACAGAAATGATAAAGAAAAGGGCAAGGAAGATGAAGTATTTGTCAACCTCAAGTAAACCACATGGTTTTTTAAATACCTGACTGTCGTCTACCCACTCACTGCCAAGCAATTTAGCAGCATACTGCAAGAAGGTGAAATTGAAGATTGGTCTGATAATGAAAGATCCAGCAAAAGGTCAATTAACCTGCTTTCTAATCATTTTCAAACTGCTAACTGATGTTATACCTGATGCAGTCCAACAGCATCTACCGGTAATTGAAAAAAAAGTTATTTGTACCTGAGCAGAAAAGAAACTGCCCAAACAACACCTCCTAATTGACAAAATGATTTTGGAAAACTGCAAGAGAAGGATGACCAGCTTGAATGTAGCTTGGATTGATTACAAGAAGGCATTCAAGCTTTCTGCCACATGATTGGATGATCAAGTATTTAGAAATACCAAGCATCAGTAGAAACATCTGATCTGCTTTACTTTGGACAAGGACTTACAGTCCTGTCTCTTCTTTGTTCCCATCTATTTGTAAATAAGTCCTTGTTTATTTCACATATTTCCCCATTACAATTCAGCAAGACTCTTCGTGGCTAGCATAGAATAGGTCATACAGTTAAAACATCCACAATGCAATCTAAAAATCAGAGTCATAAATAAGAGACAAAAACAATAAATAACGTAAGCAAAATCTCAGTAATACCAGAAAAATAGAAAATAAAAAAGGTAAATGTGTTAGTATTTTCTCTTTGCAAATCTTAGCAAGTGATGACCTTGGGACATCTGACCATTTGTAAACTTGGAGGAGGGGGTATTTAACCCCTTTGCAATATAACTTTTGAGTCAATGCAGTCCTTGTTCTCTTAAAAGTTCTACTCCTGTAAGATACACCGGTGTAGTTACATCTAAGGATATATCCAAATATATTCATAGGGATCTGTCACAAACTGTGGCCTTGTTTCAATTACATATTTACATAATTTTTTGGCTGGTGTTCATCTTACATGAAGGGAGGAACTACGAATGTTAGTCATAAAAGCAAGAGCTAGAAACTTGATCACTTACCTTATTGAGTGAAAAAATAATAATTTCTTTGGAGAAAGACAAAGATAAACTACTTCATCAGATAAGAAACAAAAGCGCAATTTGGAAATGTCACAAATATTTTGCTTAGTTCTGCAATATACCTGGCATTCCCCTTATTCAGCTCAGGCGTTGCTTCCAATGGTAAACCAAGTTCTTCCTCTTTGCAAATGATCATTAATGAGCTTTTAACACTGAGCGTCCTTGGGGTTAAGGGATGAAAGAGTGAAGTAAAGCAGTCATGAGGCAGGCTGCCTTTTTTACGCCCATGGAGTGCTACTTCTTGTGTAACATTGTAGTTTCCCAAGCAACCGAGCAAATTCTTAGGAAAAATATGTCAGTGTTGTAACTGCTACTGAGATTATGGTGCCCCTACCTGGTAGTGGGAAACATGAGAAAGAAGTCTTGCTGGTTGGGGACATGGTATCTGTGACTGAAACAATATCAATATCCTTCAGATAGGACACAGTTCCCTGAGGGAAAGTGAAACATGCTTTTGAGACACATATAACTAACCATTCTCAGTATTAGGTCTAGTGACGTGCCACACCCATGCAACACTAACGCAACTATCTTCTCAGGAAAGAAAAGTCATCTCGAATAAAAGCACATCAGAGCAAAAAGAGAAGAGAAGAATTAGATACGTATTTGCTTCCTGAAACCAGAATGGATATTTCCTCTGTTAGAAAAGGCACTGAGCAACTTTTTTGTGGAACTTGAAGGATAGAAAATGATAAACAAATATATAGGTTGGGTTCATATACAAGGGTTGGTTTGGTGTAGTGATAAAGATGCTGCCTAGAAATTGGAGATTGTGAGTTCTAGTTTTGCCTTCAGTTTGAAAGGCAGTTTGAAATTGACTTTGGGTCAATTGCTGTCCGTCCAACCCACCTCCGAGGAATGCATCAGAGATGGTATTCAGCAAGTTCTGACAAATTTTGAGTAGTTCGGAGAACCGGCAAATAGGCTGGCCCCACCCCCGTGCCTCCTAGCCTCCCAGCTGATCTTCTTTTGTTGTTCTGAACAGGAGAAAGCAGGTTAGTGTGATGGGGAGGAAATGGGGATTTTGCAGTATCCTTCCCCTGCCATGCCAACAAAGCCATGCCCCCAGAACCAGTAGTAAAAAAAAAGTTGAACCCCACCACTGGAATGCATTACCCCTTGCTTTCCCTTCCAGTCCTATCAGGTCCTACCTGTTGTCTGTGATGCTATATTTGGCAGTGGAGGTACCGGCCTTTTTCCAAGTTGACTGTTTCTATCCATTCCTCCTGGCTGTGTGAATTTTGGAAACCTGTTTCGAAATCTTCTGGTTGCGTTAAGTATTCTACTACTGTATCTTAGTGCTTACAGCTTCTCTAAGGTTGAGTAATCCTTACTTTGTTATTTCGTTTCAGCAAAGCTATTTTGAGTACCACTATGCAAATACTGTCAGATGTTTGAATATTTGGTAGTGTTAACAAGATGCTCCTTATTAACTTTGCAATTTTGCTATTTTGCAAAAGTTAACCTGCAGTAATACCCAAAAATATGGAAATATGGTAAATCAGAGTTTACAAACCACAATAGCTAGTTTATGCAGCATGCTAATTCAAAGACAAAGAAATGATATTTTAACAGCATGATATATGAACCATAATTTTGACATTAATCTAGACAGATCAATTGTAGCTTTTGAATAATGAAACTGGATTATTAAATTGCATACATTGACTGCAGCATAATGTTTATACAATCATATCAGTCAACAGAAAAGAGCAAGGACTGCTTCCATCAAGCGTATCACAGAACTAGTGTGGAGAACGATGAGGCACAGTCAGATACACATCCTTAATTTGGCTATAAAATTTGCAGGGAGGCCAAGAACAAGTTCCTATCTTATTGTCCAACCCATTTTAGAGCATAAAATAGGAATCAGGCAGGAAGCCTGAATTCTTAAACATAGGATATAAATGTGATAAATATATGTGTGCTTTAATAAATAGATTCCTGCCAGGAATTTGAGAGCGGGACACATCAATCATTAACTATTAAAGCCACTCCACCAGAGTTCTAAGCCAAAAATGCTTCCCTATTATCCTTCCTCCTAAGTATTGTTCAACAAGAATGTATAATGGGACATTGTAACAAGTATCTCTAATTCTTTGCCCTTGTTACATCTGCTGAGTCTTATTTCAGGTGACTTGGTCCCTCCTTGAAGTTCATCTGAACAGTTGCTGTGTGGAATATACTGCACATTTGGCAGACAAAGTGGCCCACATTTGCTCTACATTGGACTCCAGCCTTAAAACAGAATCTGTGGAGGTGGTGGGGGCTATGTCCAATAAGGTGACCTGAGAAGAGTTTGAGCCATGGAACAAGCTCTTCTCAGCTGCTAGTTCGGCCACTTGTGTATTAAATCCATGCCCTTCCTGGCTTATTAAAGTTGTGCAGGAAGGGACACAGGATTTGATCTCGATGTAGTTAATTCCTACTTGAACGATAGTGTGGTCCCACCAGTTCTTGAAGAGGTGGTGGTGCACCCCTTCCTCAAAGGACAATTGCTCAAGCTAACCAAGCTGGATAGTTTTTATCCAGTTTCTAATCTTCCCTTCTTAGGGAAGTTTGCCGAGAAAGTGTGGCAGCTGCAAAGAATCCTGGATGAAGTTGATTATCTAGACCCCTTTCAGTTGGGGTTCAAGCCAGGGTCTGGGACTAAAACAACATTTGATCACATTATGGATGATGTCTGATGGGAGCAGAATGGAGATACTGGTTTTTCTTGCCTCTCGGTGGCATAGGCTAGCTCCAGGAATTGGGGTGAGTGGCATTGTGTTGTGGCTAAGAGAGCCTTTGAGCATCTTTCAGTAATGTGGCAGTTGCACCCATTCCTGGATTAGGAAGTCTTGCTCACCATCACTCATGCCCTTTTAATCTCTCACTTGGATTATTGCAAATAATCATGGGGCTGTCCTTAAAGAGCGTTCAAAAACTTTAACTGGTACAAAGTGATGCTGCATGGATAATAAATGGCGACAGCTACATGGCACATATAACACTGCTACTCTGTGAGCTACACGGGCTGCCATTGTGTTTCCAGATGCAACTCAAGGTGCTGGTTGTCGCCTTTAAAGCCCTACATGGCTTGGGACCAGGTTGCCTGAGGAAGCATCTTTTTCCAAGAGTTTCTACCCATCCAACTCATTCCAACAGATAGGGCAAGCTGCAGATCCCATCAGCCAAAGAGGGTCAACTGGTGGGATATAAAAGATGGGCTTTCTCTTCAGTAGCCTTGACCTTACGGAATAATCTCTCCTTAGATATTAGAATGGTCTCAACCCTGTTGGCCTTTCACAAGGCTTTAAAAACTTGACCCTGTATCGGAATGGGTTAAGGATAATGTGGTTTTACTATTAGAGGATTAATAATCACAACTGTGGTTTGTACTTATTTATTTTGTGGGTACTTTTATTGTTTTAAGGTTTTTAAAATTGTTTTATAATTTAGAATTATAAGATGCCCAGAGATAGGTTGCTATAGCAATTGAATAAATAAATAGGTGGGAAGATGGGTCACTATAGAAATTGAATAAATAAATAAAAAAGTAGGAGAGAAGGCGGGGCTTAGCAGTGAGAAGACGGAGTTTCAGGCTATTCCTGAAATTCCCCTATTCTGAAGGAAATTGGACGGTTCGTTTCAGACCCAAGCTGTCCCGGAGAGACAGTGAAAGGTAGGAAGAGATCCAGTGACCCCAGAGACGTTCGCAAAGTCCCTGGGGGCTTGGAATTTAACCTCCTTTGCCAGTTCCTTCTGGATGAGCTGTAAGCTAACTGAAACTGCAGGTTGCCCCTAAGAATGGCGTGAGTGTTTTCAACTGGTAAGCTGATTTTATTACTCAAAGAGACACAGTCCGCATAAAAATTTAAGCTAATTGAAACCAAAGAAGAGAAGAATCTAGCGGCGAATTGGATTTTTTTTAATGGGTTTATGGCCGGTAGTTACCCTGTTTCTTAAATGTTTTAAATGCTACTTACATGGACAAAGGAAAGATTACTTTAACATCTCCTCTGACTCTCTTTAAGTGGGCTGTAAACCAATTTACTATAATTTGGCTCCCTACAATTTGACACTTTTATTGCTTGGCTGGGTTGGTCTAAGATCAGATAAGATTGCACAGCTCCCAGCTTGTTTTTACTTGCAAATACCTTAAAGCCTCTAAAGGGAAAAATACTAACTGCATCATAAACATGGCATCTATGCAAGTTTCAAATGATTCATTTCAAATGATTTTTTTCGCGTTACAAAAGTTGTCTGACACATATGATAGATTTGAAAAAAAAGTGGACTATTTGCTGTTTTTAACATCAAAATATGAAGAAAAAAGTGAGAATGTTGAATGTTTGAATGTTCCTGAAATACAAATGAAGGATGTCAGAAATGAAGATTCTCAATTTGCTGACATTCCGGGCATCTGGTTTAAAGATTCTCAACTTGCTGACACTCTGGGCATCTGGTTTACTTCGGAGGGAGAAAGAAATGCAATGTTTGAAGGGGGGCAGCCATACAGAAGATTTATTTCAAAAGACAGAGCGCAGGAGGAATGAGAAGCATTAAAGAATTTATACTTTATGAAATATCATTTGCAAAATTTCCGATACCACCACTGAGAATTAAAGACAAGCTGAAAAGTGCAACAAGCATAGGACAATGTGTAGGACATTATATGAGAGGCATCCTAAGCAAAAAGGTGCGAAAATATTCCTGTTTGGACTTGCTTATAAAGACGTTTGTAGAATTTGATCCACGAATGGTAATAGGATTAAGGAGGTTTTGTTATTGGAGAGACACAGGCTGATAGATGGAAGAATACAATTCAAAATTAGCTAAACCTAATTATTCTTATTTGTAATAGACATAGCTGAATAATAATTGATAATGATAGTAATGTATATAATGTGGAGTTGATATGATAAATAATAATTGGATATGAGAAGGGAAGGTTGGAAATATTTTTGGACCATATACAAAGGTTATTAATCACAATAATTATCACTATTAAAAAATAAAATAAAACTATATACAGTTAAATGTTAACTAATTTGGGGAAAATGTTACAATATACGATATAATTACATAAAGAAGGGAGAATGATAATAAACTATATGCATGGAAGATGGAATTTTTGGTATTAAATATTATGGATGTTCAGCTAAAACAGGATATGAGGATTTGATGTTAATAGAGGATTTTACAAACAAGTAGATGAAATGCTAGCATGTGGTTATGGATTAAATCTTTGGCATAGTTAAGGATGAAGGATGTTTAAATAACTGTAGTCAACTAAAAGTGGAGGTATAATGATGTCAATATGGTAAACATTTGAGTTAAGATATTTGAATTAATATGAATTAATGGAAGAGATGCACCAAAACATGTTGTAACCAGCTGATATACTTTTTTATAATATATACCTGTTTTTTTTTTTCGTTTTTTTCTTTTTTTTTTCCTTTTTTTTTCCCCTGCCTTGTTTTTTGTTCTTTTTGTCTTCTTTGTGTTTTGATTTTTTCTTTTCCCACTGGTGTGGGCATGTGTTGTTTATGTAACAAAATAATTTTTTTTATTAAAAATAAATAAATAAATAAAAAAGTAGGTTGAATTGTTATTATTATTAAGACTTCTGTTAAGTACAAGTTTCATCTATCACAAACTGGATTTATATTGGCTAATATAGTTAACGTAACATTTATATTTTAATAAAAATTAAATATGATTGCCAAACATTGTATTTGGTCAAATGTTTAATGCTTCCTTCTTGAGATAAAGTCTGCCATTCATTCATTCATGATTTTTCACCAACATGAATTCTCTGTTTTGATTTATTGGTTTATACCCTTGTACATATTTTCTGAGTAAAAAAAAAAAAATTCCGAGGAGAGAATTGCCTGTGAAACTTGTTTGAGCATAATTGAGAACAAGCACAGTTTCGGCAGCTAATTGTCAAGATATTTGATTTGCAACTATTGTGGATAAATATTGACTAAAAATTCTTTTTCTTGAATGAAGCTGCTACTTAACTGCAGCAGAGGCTGAGGTGGGAAGCAGAGAAAAGAGACATGCAATCTTTAGGAATAAGAGTTTTCTGTGGTTTTACCTCCAATGGCTTATTTTTCTCCACCTGTTACTCCATCAGGATGAAAACAATACTGCTCACATATATGTGGAGGAAGGAAGTCTTAGCGCCCCACCACATAACAAAATCATAATAGCATAAAAACATATTCCAACTTTTCATGTTAAGTAACAAATATCGGTCATGTGCAAGCAATGCATTCAATTCCCTT